TAATAATAATCATGAGTCTTCTGCCAGCATGTCTAGAGTGAATCTGCAGTTCTCCGAGTTAAATCTCTGCGGTGTTTGAAGTGTATTAAAGGGTCATTCACAGGAGTGAGAGTCCCCAGCGTTAGCGGTGCTCAGGACCCCATTGATCTGCTGACCTGATCAGAGCGTCAGTCAGTCTGGTTACTGATTAGATGAGCTCTTATAACCCCGAATGATAAGAGTTTACCTGTGTCAGAGTCCTTCATCACCGCCAGCAGCAGGTACAGGCACACACTCTCTGCTTCTTTACACCGATACAGTAGTCAACATCGGAAATGGATCAAAATAAGGGGTTCAAAATAGCTCTAAAATAAGAATAGGTGTTGTTGATTAGTTTAAAGGACAGTTTTAATCAAAGCTGATGATCCAGTTCAAATGGTGACCACTGTATGTATTGCTTCATGTCTTTTAAAGGGACAGTTCACCTAACATTTGAGTTTGGTTTTTATCTAGCCTACTTTGTTTAAAATTTAGTTTGTTTCTTCTGTTGAACACAAATGGAGATATTCTGAAGAATGCTCTGGGGAAAAACCGAGTCTTTGACTTCTATTGTATTTTTTGTTCTTACTATGGATGTCGAAGTTTTCCAACATTCTTCAGAGTATCTTTTTTTGGCTCCGCAGACAACTCATAAAGGTTGATTGTAATGAATTAGTAGCATAAACAGCAAGAGTAAACAGTAAATAGTGAGTGGGTGTTCATTTTGGGGTGAACTGTGCTTTTAAGAGCTGATTTGTCTGTAATGTTTGTGTCTGCACTGTGTTTGTGTGTGTTTAAAGAATGAAGAGCTTGCCATTAGCAATGAAAATGTACTGTCAAATTTAAATTGTCAGATTAATATAACTAAATGCAGTCTTGTCATTTTAAATACAACATGTAGAGAATATTACCGTAAACCTGAGTGTAATACGTGAAAATGCTAGATCTGAGAGTATGATGGTTCGTTTTGTGTATCGTTGTGTGTGTGCAGTGTTACGAAGGTTTATATTTTGCAAAAAAATATGACATTTATATTATAATATCATATAATAAATATAATATAA